GGTGGGCTGGCGGCCGTGTGGGGGGTGCTGGGTGGGGGGCAACGCCTGCAGCCCCTCTCTCCATCCACAGCACTTCGCCTTGCTCCTCAAGTACCTCATTCACGTGGCCGTCCCCGACATCCCGGGCTGGGTGGCCGAGGAGATGGCCAAGTTAGAGTACCAGCGTCGCGAGGCCTTCAAGGTACTGGCGGGCGCGGGTTGTCCCTTGCCGGGCGGGGCCTTGCAGGGCCGATCTCCAGTCTTGGGCACAGGGGCCGAGGGGCCTGAGCCAGTCCCTTCTGGAGCCCAGCGGCGCTCCCTGCCGTCTCCAGGTGCTCCTGGGGCGGAAAGCTGCGTCTATGCCGCCTGGTGGCCCTCAACCACAGGCAGTGAGCAAGCATGCTGAGAGGGGTGCAGCCGAGCAGCGCAGCTCGTATTTGATTCAGTGCGCGCAAGTTTACGTTTACGTCGACGGAGACTCTCATGGCCAGTGGCTACTAGATGGGGCAGAGGGACTGTGGCCTGCTCCCATGGCAACACCGGCTCTCGCCACTCCGTCCTCTGGGAAGCAAGGGGCCAGCTTGGCTGACACATTCCTGGTTCCCAAGATGCTGCTTGGCACCAGTCAAGACAGAGCTGGTGGCCAGTGAATGTTTGCTATTTTCCTCCGTTCCCAGAAAGCACCGGCATAGGTCCAGGGACTTAGCTGGTGTCCAATAAGCTTTTTCTTTTTTTGAATCGGAGTCCACCTCTGTCGCCCAGGCTGGAGTGCAGTGGCACACTCACAGCCACCACAGCCCCGACCTGCTAGGCCCAAGCGATCCTCCTGCCTCAGCCTTCCGAGTAGCTGGAGCCACAGGTGCACGCCACCACACCCAGATCGTTTTTCCGATTTACTGTAGAGACCGCGTTGCCCGGGCGGGTCTCGAAGCCCCAGGCTCAGGCAGTCCTCTCTCCTCCGCCTCCCAAAGTGCGGGGATGACAGAAGTGCGCCACCGCGGCTCCAATAAGCTTCTGCGTCTCCCTCCAGGTCCCCCGAGAGCCGCGGCCTGAGTCCGGGGGTGCCGCTGGAGCGTGTACGCGTTTGGTCTCCCCATCCCCGCAGACGGCGCCCTGGCATGGTGCCACCCTGGCGCGAGGCCGCCCGCTAACACACCCCCTCTGGGTCCCTAACGGCCAGCTTTGCCCGCAGAGACACGAGCGCCAGGCCCAGCACCGCTACCAGCAGCAGCAGCGGCGGCGGCGGGAGGAGGAAGAGCGCCAGCGCCACGCGGAGCATCACGCCCGGCGGGAGCGAGACTCCGGCGGTCGCGAGGAGGCGAGGCCCGAAGACCCCGGGCTGGATCCTGCCACCGCCTCCTCAGAGAAGGCCTCTGCCAAGGCCAAGGGCGGCGGGGCAGGCGGGCACGGGCCGGAGCGACCCAAGCGCCCGGGGTCCCTGCTGGCGCCCAACAACGTCATGAAGCTGAAGCAGATCATCCCGCTGCAGGGCAAGTTCCTGTCCTCGGGGGCCGCGTTGTCGCCGGCCGCCGCAAGCTCCGGCGCTGCTGCCCGGGCGCCCCCTGCCCAGTCGCCCACTGGCGGGGGCACC